GAATCGGTCAAAATCTCTCTCTGAGCTAGTCACTACCGGCGTGCGTCGTTGTCTACAGCAGAAGTTGATGGTGTCTTGTGTCGCGACAGGTCATAGGTCGCAAGACAGTTTAATTTCTGCTGCTGGACAACAGCATTGCGTGTTCACATGCGATGTCTCAACTAAGAGTCACGCTCGCTAAACGGTTGGATAGATTGTCACTAAACGGCTAGTCCCTACCGTAATGTCATGAACTTACTCTTTACTCAGACAGTCAAATTAGGATTTGTGCTAAAGCATATTTTCTGGCTATTTGCAATCATTAACTCGTTAACAAAGCAACTCTAGCTCGCTAATACTGCACTAACCTCCTCAGTACTTGACGATGCCTTCAATGCTACTCCAGTGCAGGCCTCAAATGGGACGTCGACACGTCAGAGTTATCGTGAAATTCCAAACGGAGCACACTACTAGAATCCAGAATGAGCAAGTTTTCGCATCAAGTTTAGAGTATCGAAGAAACAGTTGCTCGCCTTGCGTGCATGACGCGTCGTGTCGCTTATCCGGACAGGATTCACCAATGACCCTGGCACGTGATGGTGTCCTGGTGACTGTAGATCCAAGACAGAGATCCTGTCAGCCCGTCATGCCCATTGCCGCACCCACAAGGGCTCAGTCAGAAAGCAGGCTGATCTGAACGTCAGAAGCCAATCAAAAGAGAATGCTGCCAAATCTGCTCTCCAATTGGCCAACATCGGCACACAGTTTGTCAATCAGAGGCCATCCTACATCTGATGAAGCAGATAAATGGCAGACTTTACATGCCATCCAGAGTCGGTATGCCCACCGGGTAAGAGAGAATGCATACGAAAAAAAATGACAACTCTTGGAACCTCTACAAATAGGCTCTTGGCCAGGAGCACTGAATCAATCCGGCTCCGAAGTCTCTAAGAGTAATAGGACTCTAGAAGTCAACACTATTTGTTGACAGACTGAGACTGGGAATATGAAAAAAAGGATGCCATTTCACATTAATTTTCGAACGAAAATACACTTTAGAACTGTTCAATTTGATTCTTGGCGTAGGCAGGTGTCGAGCTTGTCCGCCATTACTCAGCATCAACTTGATACCCCCAAATCGCTCAAAGTGCTGTAAGGGTAAATAGCTTAATACCCACACAACGAAATGACCAGGTCTTGTGAGGCCATTGAAGTTCACTCAGCATTGCCTCGTAAAATGTTTTATCCTCTAGACTAAACTGCAGGATCGAACCTATCTAGGCCGACTAACGAATTCAACGGGTTCGTAACGGTTGAACAAAGGGCAGCTGGATTTCTCGCTGAGAAGAAAAACGTTCACACCGTAAGGAAAAAATATGTGGGATATTCTCATCCTATTACGCGTAAGATGACAAAGGGCCTATTTTTTAATTTTCATACCTATTCATATAGTTGTAGGAAAAGTAGAATATCAATCTTGTGTCACCTTAACCGAAATAGGGTGAACACATCTCAAATAGGTGATTTACTGGTAGTCCCGAAAACCTAATTATCAGTGAAAAAATATGTGTTTTAGATATTCCTGTGTGAAAATGTCATCACACATAAGAAGTAGATACTGTGCTTTTTGTTCTTCAGATATGTTCAACCTAAAGCAGCCCTTCGGTTTCAATGCAAATGTGTAGAAATTTTGCTGTTTTTCTCATGGGCAGATTGCCATAGCTGAGTATCCTTCCAGTGACACCTTCGAGTTAACAGCATCGTTGCCATCTGCCATAATGCCAGACGACACGAATGAAGCGGCACCATGAAAAGCATGCTTTTTATAATGGATTTCGTGAAATTGTTAAGCAACCGGCAAATCGTTTGAAAATACGAAGAATGGCTGGGCATTGATGGCACTCCTAACCAGTTCGTGTCATTAGGCCTTGTATTTTTTCGTAAAAGGTGGGAGAAAGAGATTCATACATTGACGCTACCGGACATAGAATAAAGATAGTCTTGCAGTTATGGCTGCTGATCTGTTCGAATAATTCGCCGGAGCACAAATTTACTAAGCCCTCGTCTGTACCGTTGCTATAGACATCTTCAGAGCGAGGGATCAACCAACAAACAATGAAGGAGATTAAAAAGCTGTTCATTAATATAACTAAAATGCAGTTTGGTACTGCAATTTTGTTCTGCTATCTGGTAGTGCTTAATTCTTTAAACACATTTTGGGCCACAATGATATCATTTAGCTTGGAATTGCGGTAGTCGTGGGCTGGTTTAGCTACGTTGAGAAAGTATAATTGCGCGAAAGCTCCTTAAAACCCTCATTAGAGCCATTCTTGATGTACCCATCAGTTGGGGGGAATCATGAAATTTCTTCAAAGGTGATGCCTATATCCTGATTGTTCTCATAAAAAAACTTTGGAGTGCGATCCGTCTAGACACATCAACAAAATCAAGCAACATTAACCCAACTAAAACTGCTACTCTGCAAAAATCAGTCCAACAAAAATTCGGCAAGAGGGTTGTTTCAACGCAGTCTGATGACACTTTGCCTAAATACATAGTGACTACTTTTAAATCTGTCAGTAGAATGGTGGTAATAAGTCTTGCCTCCTGAAAGGCTATTTCACCAGGACTCGCTTGTGATTTCAATCTCACCTCATCGTCTCTCATTAACATCCAAATTGGAGTTGACTCCGGGTCGTGAGGATCATGGCAACATTGGCACTCCACTACACAGCCACAGGTTCCACGACTTCATAGTGCAAGTGTGATATTTAAGACAGGTCAAATTTCACACAAATCACATTTATAGTGTCCGCGCACTAGACTATGTTGCCTATTTTTGGTAGAAGTAGGGTGACTAAACTCTTAGTGATCGTCTTCAAGATTAATGTGCCTTCTGATGTCTGGAATGGCTGACAAGCTAAAACTTGCTCATTCTTCCCAATCAAATACCTGGACCAAAAATGTCGAGCTCAGTTGCTGAGCCGCCGATCCTTGTCCTTGCTCGGTTTCCCTCCCAGACTGTTGTTGATTGCTAATCTAACCGAAAGCCCGGCAGAAACAAAACGAGGCCTCATGTACACCCAAATTGATGAGTTGTATGCACTAAATTTGATATAAATACGTTCGATTAGGCTATTTCGCTTTCTAGTGGACACCGGCTATGCAAGTGATCTTTAAGTATCGTTGAATCGCCATTCAGGTTCATTCTTAGATCTGTCATCATAACGTTAGAGATTTGATGCGTCCACCAACACTCCTATTTTATGAGAACTCAGACCAGACGCGACGTTTTCATTTGTATTTAGTTTATCTGGCTGCATAATAGTGCTAGAGCTACAAAGTTTAGAAGTTTATGCATCTGAGGCCATAATGACTCGTTCTAACCATCTCCAAGTCTGCTGACGCCTTTGCAATTAATCTAGACGCCCAGTTTATATGAACTGTTGTATTTGTATAACTTCATCTTGCATGAAAAGCAATGAATGAAGTGAATTGACTCGTAGTCGAACGTGTCGGGGATTTGTTTTATAGGAAACTGTACTCAATTAATATATTTACTGAGAATATTATAAACACCATTTTATGCGGTCAGCTGTGTCAGAATCAAACGTTTAGGAAATGTTTATCGAAAAAAACATTAGAGCATACAAGGATCTTAGTTGTTCTGTGTTGAATTAGGGTGATCCAATGACAACTAGTTGAGTTTATCCACTATTGGCCCTTGAACCACCTTAAGCGACTTTAGGGGACTAAACCCTTGTTCAAGAAATACTGCTAGTCTCGAAAACTCCTTATATCGAAAAGTAGAGCATATTATTATTCGTTCATTAGTAGGTTTTCGAGACTGCCTGTAGGCCCTATATAAGAGCAGTATTCATACTTTTGTTTATGTTGATGAAGGACTGGAGGTGGTATTTTATCCTAATAATATGAGTGGTCCCCATGCTTCCACTATATTTCAACAAAGCCATGCTTCCCAAAAGGTCTTATCAGCATCCCAGCTGAACTCAAGCCCACATTATGTTAGTGCAGCGTACAATCTCGAGGCAGTAAACACTACGCCACATTATGGCATGATTCTCCATTTCGATGATCATCTGGATAGTTTAACTCAATATTTTGTGACACAAAGGATCTGACCAATTAATACTTTTGACTCTATTAGGACCGCGTATTCCCCAATTGATTTACTTGACAAAGATCTCGAAAAAGAATGAATATTTCGTTAAATTATGCTACTTATTCCTTATTACACACCTGTTATGATACATATACAACCAGCGCACATTTAATGTAGCTTGCAGGAGTTAGAGCATGTGGCCTTTGGCGGAAACTTGGCTTTTGTAATCTGCTGGTTGAATTCAAGAGATGCTGTGTAAGCGTGGACACAGATACCATCATGTCATCAATCCAGGCTTCATAGCTCGTTGTAGATATTCTAGGCCTGAGGCAGAATTCGAACTTTCGTCCAAGCTGGATGAGAAAGGCCTTTTTCAACACATGGTACAGTATGGTGCAATTAGGGCTATGGCCTCCTCTTAACTACTTTGCGAGAAGTAGAATTGTGTGCAGTGCTAATTAAAGACAGTCTGCTTTCTCTTAAGCAACATTTTCTGGACTCTAGTTCATTTAGTCAGACCTTTCTGAGGATAAATCTACAGTCCTTTAAGTAAAGGGCCTCACTTTTCGGTTTATTATTAGGGCAACATTTCCACAAATTAGAGATATTTTCCTAATAATAATTGAATATTCATTAAATGCTTTAATTCTCATTCCTCTTACATATTCTCAATGAGCATACAAAAAGGGAAAATGTATAAAAGATATTTTTGCCTTCTTATCAACTACGGCCTTGGTGAGATGGGGCGAAATTCGTGAGTTTAGTGCGCAAGCAGACATAACTATGAACATTGCCATCTATCGCTAGGTGTACTAAAGATAGCACGATTTACTGATCAGTGCTATTGCCGGCCGAAGTGTGCTTCTTTATTGTCAGATTGAGGTGTTGTAAAGTGCAGATTCAGTCAAATGGATGAGAACAACAAAATGTCGACTTCTTCAATTTTAAGTGAAATTCAACTTGAGTAAGCCTCTGCTTTTAGAAACGTAACATTTATATCGTTTTGCACCGTGAAAAGTTTTATAAGTTGCTTCCCAGTTTACACCAGCTAAAGATTATTTCTGCAACACGCATCACTCTTCACAACCTAATAATAGAACCAGTCCAATTGTATCACCATAATTTGCTACAAAATACTATATTCGGTAGGCATTCTGTTGGCAACCGGCTAAACTGCAATTGAAGGACATGCGTAGCTGTCTTTCAGTTACAGGCCATTCTGACGCAGTTTTGTCAAACCTAACCGGGGTAAATGTCAAGGCTGACGACAACTTAAACATGCATAAAAACAAAGCACGCTAATAAACAAAGTTACAATTTAAAAGTGCATATGAAGCATACCCATTTGGCAAAGTGGAGGGTCACTTTTACGATCTAAAAGTTAAAGGCCATGGCAACGGTTAAAGTCAGGCTCAGGCAATCTCCGCAGAAGACAATACGAGGCAGAATTTGTAGGCCTTATTAATCCTCACTGTGGTAGGCTAGACGAGATATACTTTATTGAGAGCTAGATACTAATCACCATCATCAATATCCTAATTAATATGACAGCCAATCTTGATTATAATTATCCC